GAAACTATTGAGCGTTATGCAAATTATTTAGATGATAACTTATTTAACAGTTATATCTGTAATTGTACTAATGATCGAATCGGTGCAACATGCCAATATCTTCTTCCTGTTAATCTCTCAACTATCACTGAGCTATCGAAAGATCAGTTACGTGAACCTGCTGTACGGGAAGTAGCACTTCATACATGCTTAGTTGATATGATCAAGTGTAATACAGGTTTATTATGCTTAGAATGGCGACAAGTTTGCGATGGTATAGTACAATGTGATAATGGAGCTGATGAAACTGGATGTCACGCATTTGAACTTCAAAACTGTGCATCGGATGAATTCCAATGCCGTAATTCTATGTGTATACCAAATGAGTTTCTGTTTGATGGTACGATTGATTGTATGGATTCAAGTGATGAGCAGGAAGTAGATAGAATACAAAAAATTTTTGGATCATGCCCAACGACATCAATTTGGGAATGTGAAGAACGTTTATGTCGAGAAGATGAATTTAGTTGTGGAGATGGTCAATGTATTCATTGGTCAAATCTAATTCATCATCAAAACAGTTGTAAGAACACTCGAGATTTAGCATATCAATGTGAATTACAAGGATTTCCAACAGTGGCTAATGGCTTTTGTCGACAGAAGGGAAACAGTGAGTATCTTTCGCTCAGCGAATAGATGAGTGTAGATCTTCATATTGTCACTCACATTCGTTCTATAAATACTAAATTAAAATATCTTGTAGGTGGTCTACCTCCATTGCAAAATTCGACATCATGTTCATTAGGTCTTCGTTACTTGTTGACTGGATCTGATCGTAAAAAAGCATGGAACCATATTATTACTTACTGTCCTGATTTTATTCAATATCCTGAACAACCTGTGTTATCACCTGTCCTTAAAATGTTTTACAATAAATCATTTATTGTCTCATCTTATGCTGGACAAAACTTTGCACTTGCATTACCAAAACGAACTCCTGATATTGTCTGTCTAAATGGAACATTCATATGCAGTGGCACTCTGATAACATCAACCAATGGCACTTGTTGGAGTTTTGAACATTATCTATCATTTGTGGATCTGCCATTTTTTCCATTTTCATATTTATTTTGTCAAATGGTAAAAAATCAACTACAGAATAATTTATCACGGTTAGTCGTCATTACTCATACTGTTTTGTGACATAAAAATAAAAACTATTTCGTTCTAGAAAATACTCTCAACCATTAATAATAAATTCACGATCATTTATCTGTAATGAATTTGTTTATCCAATGGCTGTACGACGAATCAATGATGGATATATTGATTGTTTATTTGGTGAAGATGAGCAAAATGATCAGTACAATATCACTCTTCCATACCGTTATCGGTGCTCTGATTTATCCATTACACAATATGTTAGTTATCACTTATTGGGTAATGGAATAGAGGAATGTGCGGATGGAAGTGATGAACTTTCCAATGCATTAAACTGGCATTATTTTCGATGCGACACTGGAGAAGAATATCCTTGTTGGGTATTTCGTAGTGCATACATCGATAACATTGATCGTGTTAATAGTATACAACTATCATTTCATCGATACTGTGATTCAGTACGAGATACGAGAGATGGACATGACGAAAAAAGTTGTACTCAGTGGGTTTGTCCTCAAGACATGTATCAATGTCGAACTAATGGACAATGTATCAATAAAGATGATTTATGTGATGGAGATTTTGATTGTGACAATGGTGAAGATGAATTAAATTGTTCCATAACAAAATCTCGATGGATATTTGAAGCTCAATGTAATAATACTAAAGAGCATTTTTGTATCACGCAACACTTTCTTATCAATCAAACATTGCATCGACCTTGCATAGATTACTCAAAGGCAGGTGATGAACAACTTGATTGTATTGGAGGACGAGATGAACGAAATGTTTTTGTTTGTCCTGATCATCATATATTAGGTGATCGATTTCTATGTGATAATGCAACAAAGTGTTTATCACATACAGTTATATGCAATGGTATTATCGATTGTTATGATCAAACAGATGAGCTGATTTGCTTTTGGACCAGACATACTTGTTCCAGAAACAACTTTGCTTGTTATGATAATAAAACTTGCATGCTTGATCGTTGTTCTCCCAAATATAATTGCCCTAACAATGAAAATTTATTTTGGTGTCCAAATCCATATGAAAGTAATTATAGAATAAGTAAAGTTCGACGTCGTTCAAACTATCTGCTATTCTGTGATAACGTAGAATTATTTAACACATCCACAATACCATTGCCAAATATTCCGCCCAGGAATATTGTTAATCCAAAATTACATGGGTATTGCAATCGTGGTTTCTACTTATTAAGTGGAAATGGAACAGAACCTGTATGTTTCTGTCCACCTAGTTTTTACGGACATCATTGTCAATATGATAGTCTTCGTGTTACTGTACGTATTCGTTTTGATCGTAGACATCGTTCAGATTTACCACCATTACTTCTTGTTTTGGTTTTATTACTCTACAACAGAACTTTTATTATTGATCATCAAAGGTTTGTTGATATCGATGAAGAGTTTCCTCAAAAACATAAAGCTTACTTGGTATATTCTTATCCAAATCTCAATGGCAACTATTCAGTTCAATTCCACGCATATGACGGACTGGAACTCTTGTCAGTATGGGAATATTCAATTAATACTATTGGAATTCTTCCTGTGTTTCAATTAGCTAAAATACTTCGATTTCCTGATCGTTCTTTACCATGGCGATGTCCTCACAATCATTGCCAGAATAATGGATCATGTTATATGATCGTTAATAATGATGAAAATAATTATTTTTGTCTTTGTCAACATGGTTGGAAAGGAAATCTATGTACAGAATCTCTTAAGCAAAACAAGTGTTCATCACATGCTCTTGCTGTAGATGAAGATCTATGTGTTTGTCCATATGGGTATTTACCACCTCATTGTTTCGTTCGTAATACTATTTGTGAAAAACAAATTTCTAGTTGCTCTTCGACAAACGGAATCTGTTTACCTTTTTCTATTTTACCTCCTGATCAATATTGGTGTTTCCATGATAGCTCCAAATCTGATGGATCATCTAAATCTATGCTGATATTAAACAGACAAAAGCCTAATGAAGAAGTACTTCTCTTACAGTTATTGAAAATTTATCAAGACTATCCAAAACTACGACAGCAGATACTAATACCAAAATTAACATCTTTTCCTATTACCTTTATCATCAATAGTAAAGATTCAATATACAATATAACTTTACCTGAAATTAGTCTCTTGTATACATATGAACGTCAACGAGATTTTGTGGCTGTCCAGTTAAGCATGCTCTATGTTAACTGTAGTAATAGCTTACGAAATTTTACTGTCGATCTTAATTCTCAGCCTTCGCAATGTAAGTCAATTTCTACTCGGTCACCTATAACACTTCTTAACACTTTCTGTTGGCAATCTGACGTTCAATCATGTTTCTATTCACAGAATTATATTTGCTATTGTAAAATGAAGACAAATCGTAGCGAATGTTTAACTTACGAACAGCGAGATTTGCAGTGTGGTCATTGTCTCAACCAAGGTTATTGTATTCAAGGCAATCTGCGAAATAGTAGTGATTTTGCTTGTGTTTGTCCAAAATGTGTATTGGGTGATCTTTGTCAATTTTCTACCAGTCGGTTTTCTATCGAACTTGAAATGCTGGTAGAGCAAACACAAGGCAATCGACTTCATTTACTTGTACCTATTATTTTCTTTTGTTTTGGAATGATCTTCAACACTTTGGAAATTAGTACATTTATGAAACAAAATGCACGGCAAGCTGGTGCGGGTCTTTATCTTCTTATCAACGGTTTTATTAGTCAATTTGTACTTATTCTTCTACTAACTCGTGTTATATATTTAATTTTTGTTAAACAAATGACACCGAGCTTGATTACAAATCAAATTTTATGTAAATCGTTACCTTATCTAATGACAACTTTCAAAAATATTAGCATGTGGCTCATGAGTTTTGTCACTGTCGAACGAGCTCTAGCAGTTACATGGCCTTTACGCTCACGAATGTTTCGTACTCCTCGTTTTGCTAAATTGGTTAGCATAGTGACACTTATATTTCTATTTAGTTCTCTTTACATGCTTATCATTGAGTATAAAATAGTCATTCGTCCCGATCGTTCGTATATTAGCTGCGTCAGAGAAATCCCATTGCATAATAGAATTATAGTACAATATACATCGCTAGCACATCAACTTATTCCTTTTCTTCTTAATTTCATCGCTGGAATTACAGTAATCATCAATCTCGGTCGTTCTAAAGCACATAGTCATCAAAAATCATCTCGTTATACAATTGCTGAACAAGCTCGTCAACGAGCCGATCTACTTATTGGACCGTTCATTTGTTTCGTATCTGCATTACCACAACTCATCATATTGTTTTTAGATGCATGTAATTATGAAGAAAGTATTTGGTTTATTTATTTAACTTTGACTACTTTTTACATCTCATTCATTCCACAGATGATTACGTTTTTCATTTATATTATTCCATCACCAACTTTCAAACACGTTCTACTCACTGAAACAAAATTTGGCCGATATCTTTCTAAATTTATACATGTTCAAAAACCGACAGTGGCTAACTAACGCTCTCATTTTTAACATTAGGGTGGACTTTATTCCCATAGACTAAGAACAACACTCACACCATTATTACTTACAGATCAATAAACTAAAGAATTGTATGAAATTCATATTTTACATATGTAGTGTGCACATTTGACGTCATTATATTTTCCAAAACAATAAAAAGAAAAATTCCTTTTTCTACTATCGTTCTATGATGATAAAATTATAAGTTAAAAATATTTAGATTGTTTAGAATGATAATGATTAGAGATATGGATGTGTGTAGATGGGGGTAGGCGGGGTATAGATGTGAACGAGGATGGGTGTGAGAGATAATTTAAATATCTACAACGATACCCACCGACACCCACCCTCAACATTCAACTTTGTTTCTCTTCATAATTCATTTATTTACACCTCAAGTTAACCAAAACGGTGAGGAAACGACCAGTTTCAAGTCTTTTCGGAGATTCCATGGAGGCAATAATCTGAGTCGGAATTTCTTGGATGTGGGTGAATGTTGATCTGTACGTCTCCCATACCTACACCCTCAAGATGCTTTTGATTAGGGAACTTTTATTGCATGAAGATTTAAAATCTGTTTACTAAAGCTACGAAGCTCAATGAAACGATCATCGTTATTGATTACAGACATCTGCAATAAATCTTTTTACATTATTTGTTTTCTTGTTTGAATAAAATTAACAAGGAAAATACCAACATATCTATGCTTAACACTACAAGATTTTATTTCGTAAAATAGATAAGAGATATGACACTTTTTTTCCCATAGCTTAGTCACATTTGGTCATCACTTTCAACTTGAAAAACAGTAGGAAAGATATGAATATTGAATCATTGCTTGTGAGAAAATAGCATGTGTTCTTTATTAGAAGGGGATGACGATATTGATGTTACAGCACTTTGAAAACACTGCATGTCTAGAATATATTGCATGTCGTCTGCTAGCGGTAGAAAATGTTGAATACGATATACTTCTTATACATCTTAAATGGAGAATTTTTTAATGATGATGATCGATGATCGATTGTTAATATTTTATTTTATCAAAAGACGTTATAGGTGTATATATAACTCATGAACTCAAACAATTCATTTTGAAATATTCTTACTTTTCTTAAAATAAAATGTTTATCATCATCATTGTGTTTACAAAGTTTTATTAATTGTTATTCATATTGCACTACTGAATATAGCTAAAATTCTTTTTTCATTAACGGAAAGACTGGTTCTGTTGAACCACATTATTACATACATAATAATCACTTCAGTCTTGACTGTGCATTAAAAAAAGCTTTAGTATTCAGTCTTTTTTGGCAAAAAAAAACTTTTAATAATATCAGAAAATATAACTTTAGAGATATTTTGCTGTATGAAATCACTTATCAAGACATCGTGCAATCTAGCGTATTTCACTTATGAATTTATCAGTTTTTTAATAGAATTAAGTTCGATGATTAAATGAGTAGAAATCAGGACATCGTAATTCGTTTTTGATTTCCTTTTAGCTAGTGATGTTGACAACAACAATTGATCATGTTTTAGTGATATAACAATATTCAATGGTCTTTTTATTTGCTCTTTGTTACTTGTCTCCAGTATTTCATCTTTACGAGTAAATATAAAATATTCTCAACGAACTTCAAGCGGAAAATTGATGATTTTGAAGATATTGTTCGCCCAAGAAAAGAACGATTTATTTCTTCTTCCACAACAGAATGCATGAATCATTATGATGGCAATTGGTAGCTTTCCCGTTTTCTTATCAGTCCGTTTCCCCACACTGTATAGGCTTTCTTCCTTATTTCCTTTTTAATGGGGAAAAAGTATGTGCTTAATAATAGACATATACGAATCATCATGATGAAATATCGCATGGTTATGTTGAATAGATAACATGCAGTTTCGTTGCGAATCCGTGGGCCGTCGCATGGAAAAATCCATAATCCCCGCTCTTTCTAGTTATCTACTGGCCAATTTCCCAATCGCATGTGATAATACAACGACGTCTCCCCTTCTATATATATGTCTTATTTTACCATCAGAATTTATAAATCATTTCTTGGCTTTATTGAAATCAATCAATCTTATAAATATTTAGGTGAGTATTTAACTGAAGCGATTTTAGTTAAATATGATTTATATAGATACTATGCCTTCGATAAAATTGATATCCATTTTATTCTTCTTTGTTTTGTTGTTGGTGGTTCATGCAACGAATGAGCTCCATGAAAACTCAAGTAATTATAATTAGATAGAGTTATTAATTGTTAAAAGATTGTTTATTTTTCAGTGGTGCTCGCAAATGAAACTGCATTGAATGGCGATGTTCGCCATTTCTTTTGTGACGGCTCAGGTTTTGACGAAGCTCAATGTAGAAAGCACTGTAGAGCTAGCGGTTACAGAACAGGCTTTTGTCTATTTTATAATGGTCGTCTACAATGTCACTGTTCCGATTGATCAGTATACACCATACAACTACATTAATGATATTTATCCAAGAATCTTTTAAGATATTTACGAGTGAAATTTCTTTTGTGAATTAATAAAACTAAACATCTTACTGAAAAATCTAGACTGCTTTTAACAGAACTGAACTTTTCAATTGTATTTTGATAGCATAGTCAGTTGGAAAACGAATAGATTCATAAGTTATCGTGCTCTATATTTGGTGAAAGAACAACTAAATATCATTTTACAGTAGGATTCAATATAAAATTCATAAAAATATTATATTTTCGATTTCTCGTGTTCGATGAATCTCGATATTAAAACAATCAATATTAATGAAAGACAATCAATAAAGTAGTGAGGTTTGTTGTCGAAACCAAGCTTCATATATACTCTGGATGTTTGAGATTGAACATAGTTTAGAATTCCATACCAAAGTAGAATTTTTCTGTTCATCAGCGAAAGTAATATGTAAAATGAAATGCGATATCCATTGAAGTTTTTTTTTCAATAGATTTGAATGTATAAAATTGAGAAAAATTACAAATATGAACTTAGTAAAGCGTATAAAAAGTGATAAAATAATACTGCCGATAGACATTGATATCGAACTAGTTTTACACAATAACTACTCAACTTAACCCTTCCGCGACGATTTGTTTTCTATAGAAAGTAACGGGTAACTCAGAATGAATCATCGTACTTCGCATCTCTTATTCTAATCTCTGGAAACATTTTGTTAGAAAACAAATTCATTTTCAACATA